CAGTCAGAAGTTTGCAACGCAGTGAAGGAGACGTTTCCGACCCCATAAAGTATATATATTCTTGATCAGCATCACAAGACGAGTCGATCTAGCCATGTCCGTCTGTCCGTCTGTCCGTCTGTCCATCTGTCCGTCTGTCCGTCTGTCCGTCTGTCCGTCTGTCTGTTTCTACGCAAACTAGTCTCTCAGTTTTTGAGTTATCGGGACAAAACTTTCGCAAAAGTCTTCTTTCTATTGCAGGTAGTATATATGTCGGAGCCGACCGGATCGGACAACTATATCTTATAGCTCCCATAGGAACAATCAGAAAAAAAAAACTTTAAAAAATTCTAGCTTCGGTGTTTTTTGAAATATTACCTTCTACTTTTGGGGATGTTATTTTTTAAATATTTCTGAATTTCGAATTAATTATTTAAAAAATCGGACTACTATATCATATAGCTGCCATAGAAACGATCAGAAAATTAATGGAAAAGTAATAGGAAATAAATTCTAGCTTCTTTGGTTTTTATTGTATGATCTTCTACTCTAGGATATGACTCTTTTTAAATATTTCCGAATTTCAATTTTAATTTAATCAAAATCGGACGACTATATCATATAGCTGCCATAGGAACGATCGGAAAATTAATGAGAAATATTAGAAAATTGAACATTTTTGCGATTTGTTAATTAATAGGAATGATCTGCAAGGGTATATAAGCTTCAGCTGGCCGAAGCTAGCTTCCTTTCTTGTTTTTTATTTAAAATATTTAAATAAATTAATTGGCGGTGAGATCATTTAAAATATTGATGCATTACCTTTATTAACTCAACTATTTGAGCTACTAAAGATCAACTGAAGTAAAAGTAAAGGTGATTATTTTACATGCTTTTCGAATCAACTAATACAACTTTTGCAAAAGGGTACACAAACATTAAGTATCAGGCCGAGTTATCGAAAAAATACAAGGCAGGAAATCGGGGAGTTGGCAAAAAATTTGCATGCAAGTCAGAGAAACGACTCGGACGGGGTCTTTGCGATACATTGGTTGTGTGTGCTGGGCTTGTGCTTAGCGATAACACTTTGACAGGATTACGCCTGCTTAAGGACCGCATCAAAGCCGACACCCCGAACACACCCACACGTCCTGCGAAGGATATTACCGCAATGCTTTTTGCGCCGCCCCCGATTGCCAATTGAAAAGACATTTGCAGGCACATTTGCCTCCACTCAACTCAGCTCATCGCATCGCCTCTCAACTTAACCGAACTCAACTCAACCGAACTGAACTCGATTCGGTTCGAGTCCGGAACAAAGTTTGCATGACTTAAAAGTTATGTGGGGCCTGGGTGCTACCCCGAAACGTGAGGTAATTTCTAATATTTAGCTCTAAATTAAGTTAAGAAAAGGGTTGCAGGCTCTTGCGGTCGTCTTAAAGGAACGACGACTTTTCCAGGCGTATTTTATTGCAGGTCGCAATACGAAACCATTTGCCGGTGCTCGTATTCGTATTCGTCTGCGTCTGGACAGTTGGTTTATTGGTCACACTTGGGCTCTCACATAATTTATGTGGGAATCTTGAGCAAGTCACTCCCCATCACATCAGTCAGCCCAGTCAGCCAGGTTAGTAAGTTGCCAAGTTACCAAGTCACTGCCAAGACACCGAGACAGTTGCCTGGGCCAAGCTCAAATGAATTGTGTGAACTAAATTAAAATCAAAACAAAGCATCGGCAGGGAACTGCATATATATATAGGTGGTTCATACGTATATAAGGCGGGGAGTGAACGAAACGACAATCAGATATCCTATCTGGTGCAGATTAAGTGAGAGAATACTAGTTTCCAGCTGCCCCAACTAACCCTTTTGCGAGATCCCCATACCCAGCAATCAAAGAGTCGACGACTCCGACGGAAAGCCCACAAATGCAGAATCACAAGAGAAGCGATCCATTGAGAGTTCAAGAATAATAAGCTTGACATGTACACCTTGATTGAATATTCGGAATTTAATTAATGAGCAGTTATTAGTGAAATCTACCGAAGCTTTGAGACAAAAACCCCTGCACTTTACCCCTAGGTTTCTCCTTTGGCAAATCCTTTGTGCTGAAGCTTGAAACATTTTGCTAACAATTTCCAGAAATTTTATATTTGTAATCATATTTTCCCTCGGTGCGGAGGCAGCTACCTCTGAACTGAAACGGGAACGGGAACTTCCCTCTAACTGGGACTCGCGGTTCAAATTGCTCATTGCGTGTGCCGAAGGCTTCCGTTCCCAAAGCCAATGCATGCCGCTAATTGCTTAGTACTTGAGAAACTTACTACCGCTAAAAGTCAAGCAAGCATTTATTAAACTCATTAAAAAATGGGGGAAAAAGGGAAAAACTGGGAAAAAGTTGCAGAAAAGCATTGCGTGCGGGGCTCATGCTCATGATGCTCGTGTGTCTAAGCCCCGAAACAAAGAACGCACTGATAAGCTGCCACGCCCCCGTTGCTGATGCATCTGCCCATTTGCCCCATGGCTTCTGCTTTTGATATGCAAATATCCGTGTGTAACGAAAAATCGAGCAAAGGGGGCGACATTTTAACACCCACCCATTTTATGGCCTGACACAAACAGTTATAATTAATTGCCTGTTCGGAATTGACAACCCACTCTCCGATCCGCTCCACTGCGGCCCACGCTTTCAGCTTCAATCAATAAAAAGTTGAGCCATCCAAAAGTTATACTTATAGAAGCTGAGATATGGATACTCGGTGACGGAAACAGGTTCACTTGGGCCAGCCGAAGATCAAAGCCCCACCATCAGCGGCAGTAAGTATCTGCAGAGCCCGCTGCTGAACATCCGCTGTCTGCCCACACTGCCATAGTACAGTGGTTACGAAGGGTTCTTCAACGAATCTTTAGAATCAAGAAAAGAATCCTGAAGTAAAAGTTATTTATAAATATGTTTAAAGGTGAGTCCCCGAATAAACACCCTGCATACATTAAAAAAATGTTGCCATACAGCTAGAAAGAACCATTGGTAAGTTATAAATTGCTGTTACATTATATAAACTTTTATGATTTCCATAAACTAATTAAAGGATGCCTGCATTTACATACCAACCATAATGAAAACTGTTGTTTTGCAAACATAATCCATTTAGCGGGTTAGAATTTATAACTATTTTCTAAAAGTAGAAAATGTTGTCTTTTTTATTAATTAATTTGGGGGATGAAGTTGTTATCAGTCTACAATTTAAAGTACAATAATATATATTATTATATATTATTATATATTATTATATATTATTATATATTATTATATATTATTATATATTATTATATATTATTATATATTATTATTAACTAAAAATAATGAATGCACATTTCAATAGCTATTTTTAATGTTTAAATCTTTTTTCAATAATATTTACATTAGACATTTTAAGATAGTTCAAGTATTTAATTTAATTTATTTCAATTGAATTTCCTATTCCTTGAATCAGTTAATTTCAAAGAAAACCATCTTAAATATTTTTAGATATGTTAACTATTTTTTGTATAGATACTCAAAGTTCCTCAGCTTCATTAAGCTGCTGTACCCAATTCGATCCACTGTGCAATATCTCCTGAACTTGATTCGGGGAGCGAATGTGTGTGAAATCTGGTTTGTATACATGGCTCAAACTGGATTTGGCGCTTGGGATTTTTATGAATGAATGAGAGTGGCAACAGCAGCTACAGTTTGCTTCCCCATGGCCATTTGCGTTTACTACGTAGAAGTTGCGGCTGCTGTTGTTGTGGCTTTCGCAATATGCTTCGCCACAGATACAAGATACAAACTACAAGATACAAGAGTGGCCTGAACATGTGGGGCGGGGAATACTGGTGTTTGGTACTCGAACTCGTAGTCTTTCGGTGCCTGGGCAAATAATGAACATGGAGCGACGCGTCGCAGGTGTATCGCCAGCCCGTTTCCCGTGGCCAATGTTTGAGCCATAGCCATGGCTCTCGAGTTACTTACTTTCCAGCCACAGTTGGCCACAGTTCATTAATAAAATTCACTGAAGCGAAGCAACTCTGCTTACCCGCCCATTTATTTTCTTGGCCGTGTGTAGGTATCCCATGGATTCATTTGGGTTTCGTCGCTTTTTCCGTATTTGCGAGCCAACACACATTCTAGTTCGTCTTCTTTTTGAAAACGTAACTAATTGAATAATAATCCATGCATTTCCATATGAATAGCCGATTAAGACATGTTGCTCATTTAGCATAAATAGCTTTCGAGTATCGGAAGCGAAGCGGAGATCACAGATTCGGGGGGTTACGACTTAGTCTCTGCCTAGGCCTTCTCGATTGCGATGCGCTTTTTGTGTAAGCTTAAATGGATATCAGCTCATTCGCTCATTAGTTTCCATGTACAATGTAAGCAAAGCAAATTAACACGAAATCTACTTCCTGTAAGAGAGGTTTTGCTTTAATCTCCTTATAAAGAGGCAGGGGTCTGGCTTAATTCAACGAAAGACTTGAAGCATATTAAGATAAATGCACCCAGAAAAAAATCCGTTCGAAACGTTAGAAAATCAAGCCCAAACGGGGTCAAAAAGTGCGTAAGCCCGTTTGTTGTCAGTTCATAAACGCTTGGTCATAAAATTTGACCGAAATATTGGCATGCTTTGAACGAATGGGGTCACTTTTAGAACATATTGGTGTTGAATTAGGAAGATTTGAGAACAAACGTTCAAAATGTGAGAACAAAAAAAGGAGAACGGATTGTTCGCAAATCAAGAAAAATGTTCTTGATTTTTTTCGTTCTTTTTTTTCTGGGTGTGGTGGTGGTGCTAATTGATTTTAGCAGAAGTCTACAAAATTATATCGACAAAATACTCCACCATTTTTTTAATTTTGTTAAATTTTTTTAACTTATTTTGAATAACAACAAAAGGCAGAACATTTTACTATTTTCATTAATTAAATAATTAGCACATGCGCATGGAAAAAAAATCTCTTTTCTTTATCAAGTTAGGCTCACATTACGTTGTAGGCAGCTTCTTACTCTTCCTTTGGTCCATAACTTCAAGGAAAAACTTTAATAGTGCTACATATTGTTCCTTGGTTGAATTGGTATCCGTGAACGTTAAACGTATTTGGTAGACTCCGTGGGGAAAAGGCGGAACAAGACTGGTGTCAAAATACCCGTTCCGGGCGCTCATATGACCCTGCAGTCGGAAAAAATGTAAACGCAGTTACTCAGGCTGAATTCGGAGTTGCGGAATTACCCAAAAAGGGCAGGAATTGTTACGGTTAACATTCGTAAAACGGTTAAACAGCTTCCAGATGATGACGCCATGGGGTACAAAGTTTCTTCTTTCGATCACCTCGCATAATTCGAAAGACACGTCAATTAAAAATGGCTTGAACTGGTTACTATAGTCCTTTGCAAAAACTTGAAGTCGAATCTGTAAGTTAAAAACCCTTATATCGGATCTCGTCAAAAATTTTGAAATTGCCTTACAGTTGGCTTTACCAGAGGCACAGTCAAAATGCAATCCATGTTCACCAACGCTAAATTCCAATTGACCGGCTTCACGATGCAAGAGACATTACTTACTCGCTTCTGATTGACCTCGCAATCGACTTTGATCAGCCTGTAAACCAACTCGGTCTCTGTCTGGCGGGATAATATATTTGGTTTAGTCCAAACCTGAACTTAAAATCTTACCATTTGCCAAAGGAAGCTGCTACTCAGAAGTACCAGCCATGCGAATGTCATTTTGACAACTGACTGCGATCAAATTAAAATGAATTCGTTGGTGTAAGCTTTCATTAAATCGATTTATAATATGCTTTTAATGGAAGACCAGAGATGAATATCGGAACATAAAATAAGCAGGCTTTTAATGCAATTAGTTTTCAAAACAATGAAAATTATGTACATGTGAAAAATATTTACATTATTTTTCAGGGCTGGAACGAGTTTATTACATATTGCATATACATAAGTCTTAAAAACAAGGTACAGCTTGAATACTTAATAAGGAAAAATATAAAATTAAAGCAATAAGTGTACAATAATTACATTAAATAGACAAAGATTTATAAATAAAATTCTGTAAAAAACACATCGGCTAATTAACTAAGAATACCCGTTACTCGTAGAGTAAAAGGGTATATTAGATTCGTGCAAAAGTATGTAACAGCTAGAAGGAAGCGTTTCCGACCCCATAAAGTATATATATTCTTGATCAGGGGCACTAGCCGAGTCGATCTAGCCATGTCCGTCTGTCCGTCTGTCTGTCTGTATGAACGCTGAGATCTCAGAAACTACAAAAGCTAGAAGGTTGAGATTTCCCACACATATTCTTTGGCTTCCTGCGCAGCGCAAGTTTATTTTAGCCGAGCGCCACGCCCTCTCTAACGCCCACAATCGCCCACTAACGATTTTAAAATGGGTCCTGCGCCCACATCTTTAAAGTTTTCCGAGAAGTATAAATGCAATTTTGTTGTGTATATTTATACCTATCGAAATGTAGAAGACATTTTTCAAATCGGACCATTCATTAAAAAGTTATAAGCAATCAAAATTTATATATCTATCTCCCTCGCACCTTTAGCTGAGTGACGGGTATTAGATAGTCGGGACACCAACCCGACTATAGCGTTCTCTCTTGTTTTGTTCTCTTTTTTTTAAAATTTTTTAAAACACCAGAGTTTTGCTACTTCTTCAAATCACGATCGTAGCGACTTTCTTATCCCGCCAAAAAATAGTATTCGTTTGAATAAACTGCTTTACCCTTTATGTTAACAATATTGGTTTTCGAAAACCCACGTAAGCTTGTGTTTTCATCTCGGCTAATTTAATCAGCACCGTTCAAAATCAATGAATAAATAATAAAAACCAATATTGCCCACATTCCACGAGCTTAACTAAAGTGCTATTCACGTTCCTCCTTTTTGGTCCGCATAATCCCCATTAAATGCCATTCAATAGCCAATGTCCTGGTAATACTTTAATCCGTTAAAGCAGCTGCAGTTGTGAAGTTTTCGGTTGGCATTCGACGTTGGCCATTCGCCCTCTTTTATTTTTTCGACCATTTCCCCACTGACAGCTGGCAATTGTTCAATTATTGCACAGTGGCTCGGCTCTGTGGATCAGTGGGATATCCTGGCAGACAGGACCTCCATCCGCCCCCCGGCTGGCGCATCGGGAATAAAAAGGAGGCAGCCAACTATCGTTTAATCATAAAAAATGCATGCGCCCATAGAATAAATCCCAATGCGTCAATTGCCCTGCCCTTCGTCCCCTTGATGCTGTTAATTGCATATCAATGCTGCGTCAGCATTGGGCTTCGCAACTGAAACGGAATGGGTTTCGAGAAGGAGGAAGGACCCGGACCAGGAGCTTGATACCGATACTATGTATACTGACGGCAGTTCATCAGAGTGTCATTGACATCGCCGGTGGTTTATTGGCACCGCCTGCTGCTGGCCTGCTGATAGTTGTAGCCACGAACGCCAATTAAACTGATAGACTTTTAACGCATTTTGCGATTTTAATTATTAACTTGGTCTATCGATAAGTCAGCCATCCTACATGACTTCATTTCGCATTTCTCCGCCCTGCACCTCGCCTCTCCACAACTCAACTCTCGCCCGCATGATGAATGCCTTTTTAATGACATCACATGTGTCCATCTGTGTGCGAGGGCGGTTGTAATTGTGTTGGCGTGTGCTTTGTGGTATGTGTGAGCTTGTAGAGTCAGTGCTGCCGGTACTGGCGATAGCACTTTCCTGTAAAACATGTAAAGCCAAATATCTGAACCATTCTTTAAAAAACTTTCCTTTATTTCAAGGTGAAAATAATTTAAGATACTAGTGTTTGTATTACCCAATTGTATTTTGGGCATGCTTGAGTCAAGATTTTAAGTCCAACAAAGGCCATGGAATTATTATGTCAAATATCAAATACAAATTTCCAGAAACAACACACAAACAAATTTGACTGGTAAAATTGAGCTATACGGATAGTTACGTAACTATAAAAAATAGTTGCGTGTTTTTTTTTTTTTGCTTTGGGTGTGTGTCTTTGCTAATTGTGTGTACTTGTTGTTGTGAAAGTAACTATTTAATTGGTAGAATTGACAATTTTTGTGGCTGGGGACTGTTTGACAATTATATTGGATAATTTTACCAATTTTTTTTTTTTGTGTGTGGTATTTAATTTATATTGATTAAAAAGTAGTTACTTTTCAGTGCCCAATTATTTTTAAACCATCTTTTTATACCCGTTACTCGTAGAGTAAAAGGGTATACTAGATTCGTGCAAAAGTATGTAACAGCTAGAAGGAAGCGTTTCCGACCCCATAAAGTATATATATTCTTGATCAGGGTCACTAGCCGAGTCGATCTAGCCATGTCCGTCTGTCCGTCTGTCCGTCTGTCCGTCTGTCTGTCTGTCCGTCTGTATGAACGCTGATATCTCAGAAACTACAAAAGCTAGAAGGTTGAGATTTCCCACACATATTCTTTGGCTTCCTACGCAGCGCAAGTTTATTTTAGCCGAGCGCCACGCCCCCTCTAACGCCCACAATCGCCCACTAACGATTTTAAAATGGTCCTGCGCCCACATCTTTAAAGATTTCCGAGAAGTATAAATGCAATTTTGTTGTGTATATGTATACCTATCGAAATGTAGAAGACATTCGGACCATTCATTAAAAAGTTATACGCAATCAAAAATTAGATATCTATCTCCCTCGCACTCCCTTTAGCTGAGTTACGATTATTAGTCGGGACACCAACCCGACACAGCGTTCGCACTCCCTTTAGCTGAGTGACGGGTATTAGATAGTCGGGACAACAACCCGACTATAGCGTTCTCTCTTGTTTATAGAGTAAAAAGCTGTAAAATGTTTATACTTTTATTTTATTAAGTATGGAGTTATCAAGCAAAAACCTGCTACTAATTGGCTTACAATGTGAATTGCTTATGTTTAATACTTTACGGAGGTGACCCACTATTTAACGTGTCTATAAGTAAGTTAAGCTAAATTTTATTTGGAATTGTAAAGACTGGAAAGCTGGGTAACATTAAAATGTAGATCCCACTTTTCAACGCATTAACTGATTGAAAATTAAGAATATCATTAAACTCGTATTTTAATAACTTCTCTAATAGCTTCTTATTTCCAGCAAAATCGAGGGGAAAATGCCATAACTGAGCAACGTTTTCCTCATAAACTCACTTTGCTACCAACGAGCAGCATGTGGCTTATCCACATAGCTTATGGATCGGTTTGCCACCCACTTTGACTGGTTGTGTAACGACATCACTTCACTGCTATGCGCCCCTGTATTCCGGCTTGTCATTGCACATTGTCTTTATTTAATGTTTTGCAATTTGGCAAATTTATTATGCCAGGATTTGAGTCACAGGCGCCCAACGTGTCATTTATTGCATTTATCATGGATGCACATCGACCCCGAAAACGTCAGTGCGCCCGGCCACACGGTCCCAGTGCCGCACACTTCAGTTGAACTGCCAAAGCCTGACACTGATTGCAATTTTAATTTACAATAAAACTCATTAGCAGTGATTGCTGTTTACTGTTAGTCGGAGACAGCCGTTAGGGCCCAACTAAATGTGCCACGAGTGCAGCCGCCACCCAGCTTCCACCACCCCCCACCCATTTTCCCCAACTACCTCACCCATCCTAAGTGCATAAACGTGTCGGTGTATTACGAGTTCATTTGCTCCGCACTTGCCGGCCTAGGGTCCTCGTACTCCTCAACCTCCCCGTCCATCTTCCCTGCAGATTTAGTGCCGCATCTGTGTTGACTTTGTGAGGCATTATCATTACCAGTGGGCAACCTTAAGCTGTAATGCCATGTCTTGGACCCACGGACCCCGAACTGCCGATAGAGTCCGCCATTCAATGGGCTTTCTAATTAGTGTTGGTCCAGCGAACGCCCAAAAGGTTTGCCTGTGTAAATATGACGATTACGAGATTGATACATACCGATTTGGTTACAGATTTAATTAATTCCTTCGAAAGAATATCAAAGTTTTCTTATTTTATCCTAGGTTCTTATACCACATTTTAATTGGATATTATAATATAATATCCTCCAGGCTTTTTTGATGCGTTATTAATTATTCCTCGCGAGCTACAAAGGCTTAGTGATTCGTTTTTGCCCATTTTCGTGCAATTTTGCCATTAGCTTTCGACTAATGGGGAAAATCAAATGTTTGCCCGAATGTTTTCGACATTTTGGCGGGAACTGAATTTAAACATTGCCTATATTGGCCATATTTTGCGCAAAATGTAATGCAGCTCATTACAATTAATCATGCGACCGGTAAGCCCGGCTAAGCTGGTTTGCATTAAAATCGAATATACCATATAGGTCGATCCATGTATGTACGTGCATACGTAGTACACGTTTACTATATGTGGTCTGCTGTCATTCACACGCTTAAGCCGGCAGTGTTAAACAGCCGCGTCCCTTGGTTTTGAATCCGTTTTAATTAAGCAAACGCCATGGCATATTTTAGTTAATTTCATTACGCAACCTATCCCGTATCTTGCCTTTGTCCCTCGACCACACCATTTTGTTATTATTATTATTATTGTTATTGGCTTTAATTAGGTATTACCGGCAGAATTCGCATATTAGCCATGGCTTTGTGCGCACGCATTATTGACCGTGTGCGTGAATTATGTGTTAATTTGTATTAATGATCTTTCCCCGCAGTTGCCGTTTGGTGGCTTG